CATTATTCCCAGCGGCAGTCGGAGTACACCCGCGAGGAACATTTTAAATCACCTCCAAGAATAAACTCACAAATAGCAAGTACCTCGGCGCCGGACTCTGTTAATTACGCACATATATCAACAACCGCACTGTCTTCGGAGAGCACGAAAACAGTAGAAGGGATTTGCTTTGGGACGAGGAGCGTCGACCAATGGCCCTTGGGGAAAAGCATCCCTACTATAGAGCACGAATGAGAAAAGGCATTGCTTCTACCGGTAACTGCCAAAGCGCTAACCACTGCGACCGCACGCAACAACGTACTGTTCATACGTCAAGTATTTAAATATAGATATGATGTGTACCAATTTGTGAATCTTTTGCTGTACTTCAGAACAATCCCCATTCTAAGTGTTTGTGTTTCTCGGTTTTCCTCCTTAATAATCTTAATTCTCCTAATAAAAATACTATAATTGGCTGAACTTTATTTTACTAAACAAAATTTATTAATAATTTGCCACACAGGACCGGAAAACTAGCGGTACAACCTTTTGTATACCACATTTCGATTTCAGAATACAGGCTAATCTCATTCTTAATCTTCCGAACTTCCTACGCTGCAAGGCAACTGCCATTCAACTTCTCATCAAATGCAAACATTCGTCACGCGTATCACTGTCCTGCATCACATACACTACATACTTTTACGCCACACCGCTAAAATTTATATTTTTCTCATGATTAATTATGAGCGATCTTCTCGGTTTTCCCATTTCTTTGGATCTCTGTGTGCGCGCTTAGGCTAGTACTGCCAAAAGAGAATAACGAATACGACTTCATTCACTTTTGTCTTCTTCGCCGCGATGATTTTTCGAACGCCTCAACATCCTAGCATCCTTTAACTTCCTAGCAACCGTCCCTACACGTTTGTTCTGTTATTTTCATGTACGTGGTTTTCACTGTCCAAAATCTGCGTTCTGTGCACAGAGGACAAAGATCCGATACTCCCACGATGCGTCACTCGCTCATGAGTCGTCCTCTCGTTCTCCACTTTCCCTCTCTACGCCCCACGCCCCGCGTTCGCCATCCCCGCACCCCGCCCCGCGTCCGCCCCGGCGCGCCGCCGCAACGGAACATTAGTCAGCAGGCCGCTCCTAAACAGCGTCTCGTTGTCGGGCGACGGGTGGCCGCGCCGGCCCCTGGCCGCGCGCGCGGGCGGGTTCAGCGCCCCCGACGAGGGCCGCGCCGCGCCGCGCCGCGGGAAGCGGCCAAGGGCGAGGAGGCCCCGCCACGCAACGACGAGCACGCCGCGGCGCGGGGAACGAAAGAACGAGCGCTGGGAGCGCAAGGCGACAGGGGGCGAGATGGACACCAATGACGAGAGAAACAATATTCAACTGTATAGACAGACTAGGTTTAGCTATAAAAAATAAAAACTTCCAGTAATAACATACATGCGAAACAAACTTTTACTGGGGAGAATTTGTCCAATTTATTCACAATTTACGAACGAATATGAACTTGAACCACATCCAAAAAAAAATATACGTTTACTAGTTGAAAGTTTACAAATCGGTGTTTAAAACGTCTAACACTTTTCTAGCATTCGTTTTGGACTTCAATAAAATGAAATGACTCACCATAGAATAAAAAATCATTTGGAGTTTGGTGAATTAGTTTTCTTAATTTGTACTTGAATACCTCTTTGGTCACTTTGATCGGCCATTTTCCGTATTAATGAACACATTTTTTGCTTCAATACGAGTATATGAAAGACAACATTAAAAGTGATAATGCTTTGAATGCGAAATTTTGAATTCATAGAGTAAACAATATATGGTTTCCAGTAAGTTGCAAGTTGTCCACGTTAGTCAAAAAACGTGACGTAAAATAGTGACGTAGAACAAAAGAAACAGACTAGAATTATTAACGTTATTATGCCGATACAAATATCCAACTGATTTGGTTGTTATCGGCCATGTATCATTCAATGACTTTGGTTATATCATCGACTTACACGAAAAAATCATTTAAACGAGAAATATTAATTCTTGGAATAAGTGTAGAACATCTAAAGCTACGACACCGTCCTTGACGAACACAGGCTATTAAGAGTGACTTTTCGTTCCTCTATTTGGTTCCGAAAAGTGGATACCAGTACAGTATTACAAACATATATTTAATCAGCCCCAATTGAAAAGTGAAAGGGCATTCTCGCCCTTCAAGTGGAAAGAAAATGTCACTGCCTCGCTCGCGGCGAAGTGAAATTCCGCGCCCCGTGCCTCGCCCGCCCCGCAAGGAGGAGCGCCAGCGGCGGCGCGGGCGCGCGGGAGGAGCGCGGGCCGCACGCGAGGGGACTCACCGTGGCACAGCGTGGCGGTGGCGGAGTGTGGAGCCGTGTCGCGTCGTCATCGACCAAGCCGCAGCGGCGGGAGCAGCAGTGGCGGCGGCGGCGGCGGAGCGGCGGCAGGAGCAGCGACGCCGGCTCTGCAACACGCAGCGCGGTGTGGTCAGAGCGGGCGGGCGGGCGGGTGGACGGACGGCGCCCTCGCTTTCCGCGGCATACGCGCGACTCACTGGCCGGGCGGTGCAAGCGCTGAGGATTGGCGGCAACGACTAGATAGCCAGATCGAATTCAACCGCTGATGGGCGGAGAATTCTAGCTCTCATCGGTGGTTTTCTGGGGTGTCGTCGAGCAATACCAGGCAGATGCCGCAGGAGATTCCCAACGAGGGGGGCATGAAACGCACGATCTTTCCCTCCTCCTTCTCCTTACACACGATCTCACCCACTACACTACCTCACATTTCGGCACACGAACCGGAAACTAAGAGCTTGTCTCAGTTGGGGCGGTGGAACGCTAAGGGAGGCATCTGGAGGATAACCCGAGGTATAGGTTGTCTCTGAATCTTACGCCCCCTACTACCGCAACTTCCAGGAAGATAACGTGTCCCTTACCGTCTATGTATAAAGAGCTATGTCGTTGGCGCGCACGGAAACAATAAATTCTTGCTCACACGAAGCCCTCCTGGAGGAGGCGTGGTAAACAACACATCACCACCTTGAACCTCACACGGCGAACCAACGGCCAACAAAGATTACGCCGAAAACAAAATTATTCAGAAGTAGGCGAACAAAAATAGTAACTCTTCGTTGTCATGTTGTCAACGTGGTTGTCATGCAACGTGGAAGGAAATAGTTTAACAATGTCAGCTGATGCGAGTCAATAATACGCCAGTTTGTCACATGTAACGTAGAACATAGTTCAGCTCTGCAATATACTAGGAGCCGACTCTGTTGGCTACGCAAGAACGGAAAATACACAACTATTTGTTCAATACTGCACATGGCAGGTAAGGCAATTACCACTCAGTAGAATTAGACCTCATCCTGCATAGGGAGTAGTGAATAGCGCATAGTTGGTACAGTAGCAAAGAATGTAATAATAAAACCAACAGAGAATAGCGACTGAAGTGATTAAGTTAGTAACTGGAAGGAATCATCGGTATGGAAGGAAAGCATTTTAATTGCAAGGCAGAAGATTCAGGAGAAAGCATGAACAAGCAATGATCAAGATGCAATGACTAAATAAAAACATTAAGTTTAACGAGCTATATTCAATTAAAAGCAGTCCTTGCGAACCCACACACATTATTGGTTTGAATCTGCGACAAGTAATAAAAAGTTAGGCATTAGAAGATGGGATATGTTAGTAAGAGCAACTGAGCGTCTATTTTTAGATCGCGACTTGCAAAACTAGAACAATATGCGAAATGGCGTGTACTCAGAAAGAGTTGTGAATAGTTCACTCTTTTAGTACCAAAGGAACATTCACAGCGAACTGGGAAAATTAACCAGTTTCAGTTACAACTGCCATCTCTACCACTTTGCCTGTCAACAGTCCGATGGCTTCACTGACAGCGTTTACTTGTGTTTTTACCTACAGTGTTACGAAGTAATTTACAATAACTAAACCCATTGTGCTGTAAAAGGAATGGATTCGCTGACAACGATGATCAACCATTTTTTTTTAAATGCAATAAATCAAGTTACCCCACTTGCATTTTAAGGGGCCTAGTTTCTTTGCACCTCCTTCATCCCCTTTTTCAACACGCTTTCCTTTCCCTTTGTTCTTCCAGTTCCCACTTCGTTCCACTGTCCCCCTATTCTGTGCACTGCCATCCCATGTCAACAGCGATGATGCTTTGTTTGGGGTGCGAGGGGGCAACCGAAGGAGCGACGGACCTGGCAGGAGGGCGGGTGGCAAGGTGGCCGAGGTGGATCGAGGAAGGAGGCGAGGGAGGCAGCGGCGCGCGCTGGCCTCGCAGTGCGCTGGGGCGCGGGGCAGCGCAGTGGGGCGCGCAGTGGGGCGCGCAGTGGGGCGCGCAGTGGGGCGCGCAGTGTAGTTGCCCGCGGCATCGCGCCCTGGGCCGCCAAGACCTGGCGCCGGATTGATCTGTTGACCAGCGTTGCTAATGGACTGGTTGGTGACTAAACAGATTAGCCGCGCCCGCAGTGATTCGGAGCACCCGCGAGACCGCCCGCTGCGCCCCGCTCCGCCCCGCTCCGCCCCGCTCCGCCCCGCTCCGCCCCGCTCCGCCCCGCTCCGCCCCGCTCTGCGCGTCCCCTTCGGCGCGTCTGGGCGCCCTCAAGCCCCGCAACGGGGGCTCCCATCGTCCTTCTGCGCAAAGATCACACATAGCGAGACACGAAAGTTTTCCAGTCAATCACAAAGTACGCCACACTTGCGTTTTTAGGGGCTTATTTTCTTTGCATCTACGCCTCCCTCATTCCCTTTTTCAACACGCTTTACTTTCCCTTTGTTCCTCCAATTCCCAATTCCCACTAGCAAGTCCACCCCTGTCTAATGTTAGACAATTTGAAGCATTCAAGAATAGTAAAATTGTGAGTAAAGAAATTGAAATTCACGTTAAAATGTATGTCCTTTTAATTTCTGTTGTCCTGGAAGTTTTCAGTGAGTGTCATTGGCAAATATTGTTCAATGAAAGTGAAAGAAATGATATCAATCTTGAATTTTCAGTGCATAGAAACACAAGAGAATATGTAATTTGTTACCACGTTTGATAGTAAAGATCAAAAATGTACTTACATTATTTCAATACCTACAAAACATCACTGAAAACTTCTATACTTCGAGAATGTCGCCCCTTTTACTCCAGTGTAACAAAGGCATGTAATTTGTGAAAAACCTAGGTGAACTCAACTTCATCACTATGCTACAAAACACCACAGAATATTTAATTAATGGACAAAGAAGGAATATTTAATTAACGTGTCACAAAAGGCTAGGGTTCCACCGACCATGCGTTCTTCAATTATGAAAGATACGCCCAGCACAATTTCGCACCGCTCTGTGTATTCCAGCGGGCGACAGGGTAGTCACCCTGTTGGTGTGGCTCGAGGTTGCCCTCGGCGATATGCAGCGTTCAGGCTCCAAAGAGATTCTTTTGACGCTCCGCACAGGCAACAAGCGACGGGGGCGTGGACTGTGTTCAGAATGTGGCTGAGATTTACAATTTTTTTTTGTTTTCATTGCTTAGAAGTGGCCGCCCTTTAACCAACAACTCGTTACAGCCATAAGAGCGTGCCAACATAAAATACGAAAGAACCAAAAAATGTATTTTATAAAATTCGTGGGATCCACAATATTTCGTTTAAACTGCTCATTAAACAAAAATATTTGTTGGGTAAAAGTATTTTTCTCTAATTTTATAAATATAGTCTTGTGTTATTTATAGTAGTGTGATTTGTATTACAAAATATTCTCATTCGTTAAGTCACCCAATCACCAGCTGGTACGTGAACTACATCGATAATAGTTCGCGAAGGTGCTGGGGTTATTTAGAAACTGTTCAGAAACACTTCAGGAGCAGTTCAAAAACAAAGATCTCAAACACAATGATGAATTCCGCGACCTAATACAATATCGGTAATTACAGGGGATATTAAGGGGAAATACAGAAATTGGTGTATATATATATATATATA